TGAATCTCAAGGTCAGCAGTTCAAACCACTAGCTGCTTCAAGGGAGAAGGTTATCTGCCCTAGTAAAGACTTTAAATGTGGGGTACCAGCCCCCACAATCAAATGGGTCCAAGGGGCGGTTGTATAATTAAGGGGTAAAATTAAAGAGACATCAGACAAGATAAAGCATGCAAATGCTCACCTCTGGGAAGACCATGATTTCAGCAGCCAGATCCACACACAGAGAATATATTTCCAACCAAGGCTGATTATATACACTCTAGGGACATGCCAGTCCCCCTAATTACAGGTTACCATATGCATAACAGGAAGGAGTTGTACAATAGGCATACACAGGACAGGAAGGGGAGGCACTAGAGCCATACAGGTGACAGAAAGGCATACAAGATGGGTGAACTCTAGAGTCAAGATGGTAGCCTAACCTTGGTCATCCCTGAGTTGGCTTGACCTTAGTGTCTTTGGGTTCTCCTTCAGGGGAACAATGCATTATCCTTATTAGAAGGCAGTGGGCTCTACTTAGGGTGGGACAGACTATAGGGTCTGATTGCTTTAGATGGCTGACAAATATTCAGGCAGATAGCCTTTAATAGTCAGCACCTTAGCTTTGTCATATATTAAGGGGGTACATCTGGGGAATAACTTCTGTTTCCCACATTTAAAGAGCCTCAAAAATCCTATACTACATATAGGGTCACTATGAGTCAGAATCAACCCAATGGCAGTGGGTTGGGGCTCATTAAATCTTTTTAGAGACCTCTGCGAGGGCCTGCACTGTGTCAGACACAGCTGGAGAGAGACAGATGGTTGCCCAGCCATTTTGCTTTAAAAATAAAAAACAACCACTCACACAGCTTATCACTTGGCTAAGTCTGAAGCCACATGGCTTAGCTGGGTTACCGCACATACCACACTCCCAAAGTAAAAATGCACTCTTGAGAATTGTACATGCCCCAGCAAATACTTATATGATGCCCAGACCAGTCCTTATTAAAAAATTACAGGAAAAAACGTCTCCCTTGAAAACTCAAACCCAGAAATTCAACTGGAATCTCCCCAAAAGATGTATAAAAATAGCTATTTAGCCGCCCTCAAAACTAAGAAAATGGAAGATTGGCTTTTTGTCAATAATCCTGACAAGTACTAAAACATCAATACCTCATGTGGGTAAGTGGGCATCGCCAATGAGGGCAAGTTGAATTGAAGCTACCCTTAATGGTCATACTTCGATCCATTCATTTTACTTCTTTTAGTTTATCCTAAAGAGCCAGTCAGAAGGAGACACCCTCAATTTTGTGTGTTTTTTTGTTTTTTGTTTTATAAACATTTTATTTGGGGCTCATACAACTCTTATCACAGTCCATACACACATCAATTGTGTAAAGCGCATTTGTACTTCATCCTCAAAACATTTTCTCTCCACTTAAACCCCCGACATCAGGTCCTCATTTTCCCCCTCCCTCCCCGCTCCCCACTCCCCCATGAGCCCCCGATAGTTTATAAACTGTTATTTCAATTTTGTTTTTTAACAATCTACATACTTCACTCTGCTTTAGCATCACTCTTATAAGCAGAAGAGAAACCAGAAGGAAGCAAAACGATTTTTGAAACAACGGAATGACTAGGGGTGCTCGCGGGTGATTCCAGCGAGAGCCTCGGACTCCTTAGCGCTCTAAGTAAGACCTCGGATGGAATGTTGGGGGATGCTCTTGTGTCGGGAGGGCACGAGGTGCCAGCAGCCAGTTTCCGTCTGCCACAGCCATGACATCTGCCCCGATGCTGGGCGAGTTGGTGAAAACCTGATGTCTTGATGGGCACGTAGAGAGGGGTCCTGGGAAATGAGGCTTCACTGGTCAGCAAGAGGTGGCCTCAGCGCTGGGTGAGGACCAGTGAGGAGGATTGAGAACTAAGGGATTGAAGGTAGCGCTCAGTTTGGGGGCTTGCAGAGTAGGCGCAGTCACGTGGGGGGGGCTCTACCACGTGACAGGCTACTAGGTCCAGCAGCCTCAAGCTGGGAGCCAACAGAATTGGAGGGCGGGACTTGGCTACGCCCAGCCCCGCTCCCTGCTCTTTCGTTGTCGTTAGTGATTGGACAGTCACGCAGTCCGTCAAGGGACCGCCTCTGAATATAGACCAATCAGGGCTGCTGGGCGGGCGCTTCCTTCTCCATCCGAGTCCTGCGGAGGGGCAGCTGCAGGAAGGTGAGTCCAGAGCCCCGAAAACGCCGGCGGTGGCTGTGCGCAGGCGCAGAGCGGACTGGGCTGACGGGGCGCACCGGGTGGCGGCGGTGTAGACTGGTGAAAGTAGGGCGGGGGTCCCAGGTAGGTAAGGGGACGCTGCGGGGTCAGGACACTTCCACTCATGCCAGGCCTTCCCGGCACCTGGCTCTCCCCGGTCCCGCGGCCGCGGCTCAGGTGATGGGGCGAGTGGAGGTGAGGTGAGGGGGCGGGTCGGCGGCCGCCGTCACCCCACTTGCGCGCCCGCACCACGTGGGCTAGCGGACTCGCCCGCGGACCCTGCCAGCACCCCCTACTGGACTCGCAGGGTTAGCTCTTGACGTGAGCCCCCTTCGCTCGGTGTCTCCACTGGTCGGGAAACAGCCTCCGAGACACCGAACCAGGGGTGCCAGAGAGCATCTCGCAGGGACGTGGCTGGGTGGTCTCCTGAGCCACCGCTCCTGTCTCCTAGGCTGTGGTCAGAGACTTGAACTTGGGACCCGTTTATTTTTGTAGGCGGCTGAAATCGGCCCAGACAGCCTGGAGTCTGACACTGCAGGGCATCCTCGAAGCAGGCGCCCTCCTGGCTGACCATTTCTCCCCAAGCTCAGCGGGGTGAGCTGACGAGGGGACTTCTTCAGTGCTGGGAGCTCCGGCAGGTGGACTTGGACTTGGGGAGGGTAGCTGTCTGCATACTGCATAAGCCCTGCACCTGGGTGCTTTCTAAACAACTAGCTGTTGCAAATGACCTCCCAGCCCCCAGTGAAGAACC